CGCTAAAATCGACAACTCCGCAAAAATACAGCATTGGACTGAAGCACGTGGCTACAGGAACTAATATAGGGTCGAGTGTCAACTATAGAAAACAGGAGCAAACAATTATTTAACCCGATCCTTATTTAATTTATATTTTTATTTCGTAAATTATCGTTTAGGTGGATTAAGCTTATTTGCAAAAAGATCGAAGGATGAACCTAGGTCGATGATTAAAACCATTGCTTGCTACAATATGTATTTTACTGTTAATAAGTTTTCAACCTCCCTGCAATCTTACTTAATTTTCTTCGGTTGACGGTATGTTTTTTTCAAAATGAGTTACAGTTAAACCTATCAAATGAAATTCAGAGGGGTATTTTTATCGTTAATCGCTGACACCACACTGAGTATCTCTAGAAACACTTGGTACTTACTTTGTGTAAGAAGGAACCGGAACCGGTTGAGATGACAGTTGCCTTGAATAGAGGTAAGGATTTTTCGAAAAACGAACCATTTTAAAGGATGGCGCTTGTTTCTGTTTTCTGATGTTGTTTTTCCTTCACGACCTGCAGTCCCTGACGAGAGACTGGAAACTGCAAGGGCATGAAAATTTCCACCTTTTGTTTACACGTTTTTGTACGTTGATTAAACAATTTATAAATATTTTCAGACGCTGAAAGATTGTATTTGTTACTCTTCCTTACTATTTTAATCTCAATAGATTGTCTGATTAATTACAGAAATTGCCTTGAAACTGGCATTTTCGTTTACTAATAAAACGAATTGCAGAGAAAAGATGTAAACTCTGCAACATTATTGCGTGTCGTTCTCCTTTTAAGGATATCTGCTGCTCGTTCAAAACTATAGTAGGAGTACACTGTGACCTCGACAAACGATCTAAGTAGAAAACAGAAAACGGTAATTAGACCTCTTCTTGTCTGTTCAAGGCGAATTTATAGCCATTCCGCTAGTTTCGGTTTTTCCGGGCGAAAAGACGAAGTCTTAGCCGAGCAGCCATATTCTCTCCTCCTGTTAACAGAGATTCCACGACAATTTGTCCCTCGCGTAGTGCGGAGCTTGATTTGAGGGGGACGAGAGGCTCTAGTTCGAGGCGCCGAGTTCCTTCTAATATATCAAACCGGCATGTTCTATAATATATCGCAATATAATGCATTGATTGCCTTTGGACTTCTTTAGTAGTCATTCCCTTCTAAATTTATCATCTTGGAAGGAAAGATTAATGAGATAGGCACAACATGGGTTTGTTTACTTTTTTTTTCTAGTCAATTCTAGATGTCAGTCTTTTCGCAATGGGTCTGAACATGACCAAACAACAGGCTCATGTTAAATTTATCATTACTCATCAGCTACGCTCTATAATATATCGCCATACTGAATGCATTATTTGATGGCTTTGGACCCGACCATATTTGAGGAAGATAGATCACTGCTTTTCTTGGTTACCTTCTTGGGCAAGAATACTAGATAACTAACTAGTTGAGTTGATTTTTCAAAGCCACTGTTTCAAAAATGCAAGTCATTGATGTAAGGTATATCGACCCGCACTCGAATCTGCTGCATCAGCGGCTGCAATGATTACTTGAAGCGTTTCTTGAGTTCCGAGATACGCAAAAATGGTTTTATTTCCAGACGTGAACTTTTCTGGACCGCTGCCGGGAAAAGATGAATGTGAATGAGAGCGTGCTACCGGCTGGGTTACGGTTGTAGCCTTACTACCAGCAAGAGTAACTAACAAGGCACAGTAGCCTCTGAGGAAGAAGTAGTTTAAATATGAAGCTGTTGAACGTTGGCTGGTACAAACATTTCAGCGAAAGTTGTGGTTTTCCAGGTTTGACCCTTATAAAACTTCTTTTAAAGAACTGCACTTTTCTCTGTTGCACATCGGCAGTGATGGGCTATGCCCTCTGTAGATCTTTCACTCTTTCTGTCCTATAATGAACCTTATCCATCGAAGTTCCATGAAACGATCAATTATGATACTAGGATTAAAAAAACCGCTTAAATCAAGTTAAATCGGTAAAATAACGACACCAGGAGCAAACAACACACGCATAGAGTAAGGTAAGCCATTTTTATTTAATATTTTCACTTTTAGCTATCTCCATGGATATCTTGTAGAAAATCCCATACAAATCCTTATAAATCGATATGCAAATTTTGTTCCTTGTGTGGTTCTTAAACAGAGCTTGGGCCGCCTGTGGATACAGTGGTGAAAGTGACCTTATAGGAAAGGAAGTGGATCATTGAGACACAGTTATCTATAACAATGATTTGCGCTGCTGGGAGCCGGTAGGGGGTTGCTGCCAATCTTTTTGCTGTCCCCGTTTTTTTTGTTTGTTTGTTTGTTTTTTACGCATCTACTGAGAATTGAAAGCATCAGAAACTGAAACCACAATAAGGTGTAGATACAAAAATCGTAGTAAAATACATAAAAATCTTTTTTGAGAATTATTCATGAAATGTGTTCTAATCTCATTTTTATCTCTAGAAATTTGAACGTTTTTTCCAAAAATCCCGATGTCTCAATTTTTTACAGAAAACAACATAATCTATGGAAAGATGGTTCTTTAAACCCTTTCACATCCCAAGAATGCAAAAGCAATTCTTTTTACTGTCTACCATACAGTTCATTGAAGGTTACTGGCAATTCTAAGAATTTTGCCGGTGGATCAAGTAGTATCCCTTAGTGGGTAATTTCTTTTATCTAAAAATCGCCATGTAGCAACTTGATTGTGTATCCATATTGTAGGGAGAAATTACTCGTTAATTAGTCACTCCTGGGAGTGAAAGGATTGAAAGGGATATCTGGTTTTAATATTAGTTTGATCTGGATGGAAGCCAAAATTGTTTGGGAGGCGGGAGGAGAGGAGAGGGAGGGGCTGGTAGGGCCGCGGCCCCACCACTTTTTTGCGCCCCCACCCCCACTTTTTGCACTAAAAGAAAAATAATTAAGAATTACGGTATCTTCACTAATGCCGACCTATAAAGAGCAACAAATACTGGATAAAGTATGCAAAGTCACGCGACAGAAACAAATTAAATACTATGATTTTATTCCTTTTTTCGATTTTCAATTTGAAAAAATTATTTTCAATTGTGAGCCCTCCCACTTGACACCTTGCTCCGCGGTCCCTGTAGATGTGCATTTGTGACAGTGATTCTTGTCCTAACTTTGTACCATTTCATATTCAAGTCACTCAGTTCACAGTCCTTTGTGTCACACAATTCTGGTGTCTGGGTAACACAAATCTTTCAATTGTTCATGTATGTTGGACACCGCGGAAATACGGTTTTTAGGGCACGATACAGTATTTTACTGGTCAGCGGACACGTCAACGAAACCATGAAATGCCGATAACTTTTACACTGGTTTTCGCCGTGAGTCAAATCGACAGCGTAAAAAGTCAAAACTTAGAAAGAATACTGTAAACTTAGCTTTGAAACTCGGCTCACCTTTTGGATAGTTCTTAAGCTCAATTATATAATTTGCCAAAGCCGAACTGAAGTTGCACACGATATGAAATTGTTGTTTTTCGCTGGCGGCTCCGTGGCAACTAAGTTTTGTTTATAAAAGAGCTTATGCACCAAGGCTAAAAATGAGACGATTTTTGAATGGTTGAAGCGGTGATCCGAGGACGCTGCACTATCAGGTTTGTAAAGCAGTGGCTTGAACCGTATAAATCGGC